GAACGACTTTGTCTCTTTCTAACTGTCCCTTTAAAAAGAGATAAACTAGCTCACTTTTAGCATTTTCACTACAGTGTGTAAGATATCTTACACACTGTAGTGAAAATGCTAAAAGTGAGCTAGTTTATCTCTTTTTAAAGGGACAGTTAGAAAGAGACAAAGTCGTTCACTTTTAGCATTTTCACTATATTGCAAGATACAGAATTGACCCCTAGACCAGTGAGTCTAGGGGTCAATTCTGTATCTTACAATATAGCGAAAATGCTAAAAGCGAGCGACTTTATCTCTTTTTAAAGGAACAGTTAGAAAGAGACACAGTTGTTATATCTTTTATTATAGTGTAAGATACAGAACTGACCCCCTGATCTAGTCAAAGTCGCCCCGAGAATTCGATCAGCTGACCGCGGTGCTTTAATTCCCTTTCTTTACCCAAGCGGAATATCGAACTCGTGGGGCGTCGCGACGGCGCCGCGTCGTTGTGACTTCGTTCGTCATTCAAGCCTCAACATTAACACGTCACTGCAACGTCACATTTCGGCATTTCGTCTCGACGCAGTCCTCTCATTTCCCGCCTCCTTCGCCCCCGCCGTCGTCCCCCGCGACGCACGCCCCTGACACGCGGAAGAGCCCGCGCGGCGCGTGCGCGCTCGCGGCGCGCACGCCCGCGCTGTCTCACCTTTATTTTTGGAGGCGACTCCCGACGACGGGGCCGCCTGTCACAGAAGAGTAGAGCGGTGCGAGGCTTGCGGAGCGCGCTCGGACAGTGCGTGTGTATGCGCGCGTCCGCGACGACCGGCCGACGCGAGCGATGTCGACGACGATGACGAGGACGATGCTCGAGCCGACATTCTGCTCGAGTCCGTCGGTGACGAACGGCAACGGCAGGCTCGCCGAGGAGCACCGGCAGGCCGCGCCGGCGAGACGACGCTGGCCGCAGATCGAGTGGACGTTCAACGAGTGGACGTTCAGCCTGGCGCTCTTCGCGTTCTCGCTCGCCGTCGTCCTCGGCAAGCTGTACGTGAATTATGGTAAGGCCGAGTCGCTCCCGCGGGGGGGGGGGGGGAGAAACTACCCGGCGAGAAATGACTCGAGTCGATCCAAACGACGTCGAGTCGACGCCGTCGAAATCGATGTCGGTCGACGTCGAACCTGACGGCGTCGACGTCGATTCGACGAGTCATCTCTCACTGGGTCCCTCCCCCCCCCCGAGCGTCACGCTCTCCCCCCCCCCGATCTTCTTCGCCTGCCCAGGACTCGGACGCAAACGCGATTCGCGCGCGTACTATTTTTATTTATTTTGGAGTATGTAACGCGCCATCGATCGAACTTTCATCCTCTTGACACTACTTGGACTTCCTCTCTTCCCTGCCGTGGCCGCGAACTCTTTTTTCCGACACTGCCTTGAATCTCTCTCGTACTCCAGACGCACGTTTTCGCCGTCAGTTGAGGTTAGACGGCCGCTCGGACGCACGCAATTCTGTTTTGATTCTGTTGAAAGGGACGTTCCCGGCGATCTGAATCGCGTCCTTCCCCGCACGACGAGAATCGTTGCCGCGCGAGTCGGCGGTGAATCGCGGCCGCCGGGTGGAGCGACGCGGCGCCGCAAGTCTTTTGTTTTGGTAACGTTTGGACGCCGGCCGGGATCAGCCGACGATGCGAATCCGTCTCGAGGAAGCCTGCGCGCTCCCAGAATCTTCATCTCTCTCTTTTCCTTTTTATTTTTTTGGGTCTCTCGGCCTCGTCGAGGAGAAGCGCGGATGAACTCCGGGACGAGCAGTGCGCCGTTTCACCGATCATATATTTTTTCTGTACCACCTGCGTTATTTATTATAGGACGTGCTCCTCTCGGTTCACGCTTTCTGCGCTCGCCCCGCTCTTACCCCGGCCCGCATGAGCGCCGCAATCGTGATTGATTTCGCGAAAAAGTAGAGGCAGAAACGCGCGCGGCTGAGAAGAGCACGTCTCGGCGATAATTTGTTTCGTTTTTTTATGTAATTGCCGGAGCTGCTCCGCGCTCCGATTCGTATTTGTTATCCTTACTTGTTGATTTATTTATAATTACGTTAACTCCTGGCGCTTTCTGATTTATGTAATATTGACCGTAAGGCAAGAATCCATCCGCGAGCCAAGAGTCGCGTCGCTTATGTTAATTTTATGAATAGCATCGTCCCCGAAGCAGCCGGGGCGATCCCCGTCGCCGTTCCGTTTTCGACAAAAGAGAGATTTCACTCCCGAGAGACGGAGACGCGCGTGCGAGAATGAAACGGATCCACCTAATCTTATTCTCTCGATCATTGTTTATTATCTACGAATGTCTGTATTTGGCGAATTGTGTGCGAACATTAACCGCCGACGCTGTACTTGTATAAGCGAGAACCTAACGCGGTCCGAAAGTCGCTTATTTATTTATGTTAATTTCACGCATTGTACTGGCACGAGCCGAACGTCCCGTCCGATCTCCCGGGACGCCCGAAAAGCCGGACGATTCTCGTCGCTGTTCTAATTTCAATAAATAAAAAATTGTTTCCTTGCAAAGAATTCACGTGAGACTCCGTGACTCGCTTGCTCCTCTCGGAAAGCGAGTAAAAATACCGTACATTCCGCGCGAGAGGGAGAGAAAGATATGAAGAGATCGCTCTAAGAGACTTGAATGCGCGAGACTCGCGTTAAAACGCGCACATGCGGCCTGCGTTCTTCGGTTATATGTATTTTTAACGGCGCGCGTGGCCCATTTCTATCTACGAGGCATGTACAACGTACGCGCGTCTTTCCGCGGGCGACGCCAGTCCTTCGAATCTTGTCCAGCCGTCCTCGCCGGAGCGCGCGCTCGTTACGCGAGGTCTCCGCGTCGCCCGTGACCGAATTCGTCAAGGCCGCGTTCGTCGCCGGAAAAGTATATGATACACGCCTGACTAGTCGCGAGAGGGAAAAACCGGACGCTCCTGTCGGAGAGAAAGAGAGAGAGAATTTCTTCCCTTGTTTATCTTATCCCTCCGTCGCCTTATCATTTGATTAAATCGATTACTTTTGCGCGAGGTAAACTTGATAGATTACACGCGCCGAGGTACAATACGAGCCTCGTGTGCTTTCGATCTAATAGAGGAAAGTTTCCCGCTATGAGATAGGCTCCTAATATGAGACAGCGGGGTTTCTGTTGAATTAATAGGCATCGTCGGTTGATTCCACCGTGAATGTATTGCTCTTGGAGCGAAATCTGTGCAGCGGATAATTAATTGTTGGATTGTGTAAGCGTTGCGAAAAAAAGATTTGTGATTGAGTTTGGGCGTTGAAAACCTGCTATCTCATGTTAGAAATCAATCTCACAATAGAGGACTTTCCTCTATGTAGAATCATCTTAATGTTTAAATTGATTCTCTCTCTCTCTCTCTCTCTCTCTCTCTCTCTTTCTGAAAAACAAAACCCAGTGAATACCGAGTCTCAGTTACATTGCATGTACATTACAATTTCTCACTCAACAATGTAAATGTAGTATCACACATGTGCTATATTACCTTTACATTGTTGAATGAGAAATTGTAACATAAATGCAATGTAATTGATGTTCGGTGTTCACTGGGGAAATTGGCAATTCCATCAACGACGCAGCTCGGAAGAGAGTTGAATGGCGTTAGGACAAGGCAGAAGATCATTCATTGCGGTATAAGAGCATTCTCAGTCCTTCAGAATGACATTATTATTTGACATAAATATTTCCACCCCACATGAATGAGTGTAATCTGTAACTCTGTCTTTCTTTAGAGATTTACGTGGCTGATACGAGTTTCTCATGCTCTGCCCCCAGGAACGCCCTTGCCACGGCAAGTCGGCGCTCGATTCTCGTCGTCGATGGCAACTCGAGTGTACGAAGCGATCCCGAGTATATCCGTCTTGCCGAAATTCGAGCAATTATCGGTGGGCAGCGAGAGGCTCTTGAACGCCGATAATCAGTACGCGGAGGCAGCTATTCACGGGCTGATGGCGTTTTACGAGAAATACATATGGCTGTTGAAAGCGATGACGAGCGGACTCGTGTTAACAGGCTTCACCTGGTTCATCCTTTACATGGACAGCAGTATACCCGGTGTCAATCCACCGGCTCCCTTCAGTCCTTCCAAACAGAGGTAAAGTCTCGGTCTTAATTTCAGTCTGTTTAATTGTGCAATAGTATTTACCTGACATATTTAATGCCCAAGTAGAACAAGTTAATCACAAAAACGTCAATGCGACATTAAAATGATGAATTTTACGTCATAAAGTGATCGACGTCACGATTTGCTTTGCAATGACTGACTTATGACATGCTGTTTTATGATATTCGTGATGTGTATAATAATATATTATTACAGATTACACGATCAGTTATATATTATATTTATCTTATATTACTTCAATTTATTTTTAATGTATAATATTTAGCTAACTTTGCTTTGTAAAACAAGATCATTTTTACATTTTGATGTCTTAATGATGTCACAAACAGGTGCTCTCGGTGGGCTATTTTGACGTCACCATAATGCATAAAAAATGATCAAAAAATGATGTCTTGATGTTTTCGTGACTAATATGTTCTACTTGGGTAGTTTTACAAGTGTCTGTCACGATTTAGAAAGTAAAATATTCGCAAATGGAATGTATTTTTTTTTATTGTACGCAAGTCTAGTAAAAGTATCTTTTCTACTGTTCGTTAATAAATCTGTGACAGCGTAAAATAATCTGATTTCTATGGCTGCTTGAAAAATTTATGCATCGCCGAATGTCACTTACCGCACGTATTTCAGGTTACGCGAAGGCTCGAGGATACAGATGAATTATTTAGTCGGCGCGCTAAATGGGATAGTGTGCTTCGTCCTCTACCTGTGGCTTTAATTCGACGAAGGCGTCGTCGGTTTCCGAGAGATGGTTCTATTTTTCTTTCGTCTATTTATGTAAAATTATTTATTTTACTTAGTTATATCGTCGGTAGCAAATGTGTGATTATTTGATTACGATTTATTCACGAGTGAGTCTCATACAAGAAAAACGAAAATGCTAACGCACTGAGAGAAAGAGAGTGTCGAATGAAAAGAATATTTCTCGATTCGACTGCACGCGGACGGTCAAGCGGACATTTGCTATTTCACGAAAATGTCATGTTTCGACAACTAAGACGTTCAACTCAAAAGTATATAAATATTTGAACGAAGAAATGACCGTGTCAATTCGACACATTTAGGCGTGTCGACCACTTTCTTTTCTCAGCTTGTTAGAGAATCTTAGTGTTCTGTAGCTCTTTGTCGATTAACGTACTGCGATATTACGTAACGCTTTCGTAAGTAGCTGTAGTCCCTAAGTCAAAATCAAACGTCGCGTAGGCATGTTTTCCAAAATGTAAAGGTGCTTCTAACGATGCGATCCGCTCTGTTAGCACGAGAGGAACTTGTTCCGCTTCTGTGTGTATTAGCAGTCGTCGCTGCTAACGGGACAAGTATGCAGAAAGTATTGAAACCCGGTGCAGGGTTTGCGTAACAACCAAAAACGTCAAAGTACAAAAGAGAGACCAGTGTTCCATATTCTCTTCTCCAAAATTTTACATAGTTATCTATTACCGTTTAAGACTGATCGATTATCTGATTAAAGGGCATATTTATTGATAAGCTAGAGTAAGTGTTGCGAGATACACAGAATATATATATATATTTTTTTTCATGCTTATATAAAAATAACTGCTAGAAGTGTGAGGCTACGAGTAATATTATATTTAATATTTAACGCGTCGTTACGTATATTTTTGAAAAATCTCATTAGGTAGCTAACATGCCGAGAATATGTTGCGGCAAACAACGCGCGCATGAGACACACTTGTACACTTCAATTCTTTCGACAAACAAGAGATTTGAGTGGCGATTAAATGCATCGCGGCTCCAGTCTCACAAATATCGAACTCAAAATTACTTGCGATTGTGAACGATTATAACAAGAACACACAAAACATTATAAGCACTTGTAAAAATTGCGAAATATTTTCTAAATTAATATTTACATGTCACAGAGATTGAACGAAATGATTCTCGGAGGTTTGTCGCGCGGTAAGAGGCTTCCTCTTCCCTTCCGATCGTCGCAGAATTAATATTACAGAGGTATGCTATAAAGAAATGTTTCACTTCTTAAGCGACTAACATAGGCAAAATTAAAAAAAAATAGCGCATAAGCTGCGTCGGAGTGTAAACCTTGTCGCTCTGTACATGAACATGCGGCGCACGTTCTCGCGCGCGGAATCTCCGCGTCCGCGGGAACGGAACGCCGTTGAATAAACGTTGAGTCGCAGCGCGTATCTACGTGTTTTCTTATCCCGCAAAGCCCGCTGCAGAATGGCTGACTTGTAATTTCAAGACAACGTTCATAAAATATTCACCTGTCATTAATAGTCGTACAGTAAAATTTGCGTATGTTTACACGTATACGTTGATTCTTCGCAAACGTTATCCTTGTGCACATATTTAACACCCGAGACACGGTTGTGCGTTAGGGCCTCAGCAGAATGGCTTGTACTCTTAATACAATGTTTCACAACGTCAGTATTTTCTTGACTATATCTGGCATTTTTAATGATACAGAAACTTTATTGCGAAAAATATTACCTCAGCCAGGGTTTGAACCCTGGACTTCCCTACACTCTAGGCGGGCGTCTCACCAATTCGACCACTGAGGCAAACAATGTTTTACGTTTAACGCACAATAACCGTCTGAAGTCTTAAAAGTGGTATACGGAAACAACACTTTGCAAGCCTGCAAAGTGTTAAGGCACGAGACAGTTATTGTACGTTACTTAAAGCCTAATCTGCAATGTGCTCTCTGCGTCTAGAAGCATTCTATTGGGTTGAGTCTTAAGTCATTTCGGTTTTTTACTATAAGTCCCAGTCTACAATAGAGGATTTAAGCCCTAAGCTTTAAGAAATTGACCAATCACGGTCAAGTACGAGTAGAATACGCGATTGTGATTAGTCAATTTCTTAAGGCTTAGGGTTTAAATCTCTATTGTAGACTGGGACTAATATTCAAAGGCGATTTTTTTTTATAGAAATAATTTTATTTAGTTATGTATTGACCATTGTTTTCGATAACCCTTTGCCATCTTTCGGGTAACATCATGATGCCACGCTCAAAGAACTTCTGACCTTTATCAGTAAAAAACTGAAGCAAGTGCTGTTTGACACCATTGTCCGAATTGAATTGTTTACCATCAAGGAGTTTTGCAAAGATTGAAACAAATTGTAGTCTGACGGCACAAGGTCTGGTGAGTATGGTGGTCCATCAAATCCCATCCAAGCTCCAGCAACTTCTGGCGGGTCACCAAACTTGTGTATGGTCTCGCGTTGTCATGGTGGAACACAACACCCTTACGATTTACCAATTCTGGCCGCTTCTCGTTGATGGCTTCATTCAATTTGTCCAATAGGCGACAGTGCACAGCCGCATTGATGGTCTGGTCTTGTCAACCAGTTTTTTAAACGTTTTGATTTGCTTGTATAGAATCATAGCCCATACAGCACCAAAGCTTTCAGAAACACTTCAGAAAACATTGTTGCAATGTTTCTGAAAGCTTTGGTGCTGTATGGGCTATGATTCTATACAAGCAAATCAAAACGTTTAAAAAAACTGGTTGACAAGAAACATTGCAACAATGTTTTCTGAAATGTTTCTGAAAGCTTCGGTGCTGTATGGGAGACATAGACTACGTTTCCACCGAGGGTCAGAGTCGGGCTAGAATCGGGTCAGAATCGGGTTGGGGTGAGCGTTTTTGCGGTGGAAACACCAAACCCCAACCCGATTC